GAATTGACGGGGCGGTCCCGGGTTTAAAACGAACGCTCCGGGGCCTTAACGGGGTTTTTCAAGGTGGGAAGTTGCTGCAATGTGTGCAGCTACCCACATACAACCTCCAGGCACGGGAATTACTTCTCTAGCGTGCCTGAGCCCGACCTTTGCCTTTAATCCATCCCTCTACTATATCGCAAGTCTCTACTGCTGCTCTCAAAACGCTGCACAACTCTTGCAAAGGCTATAGCGGATCTCGCTTGCGCAGTGCTGACAACACTCAAAAAAGCTACCTTTGGGAGAAGAGTGATTAGGTGAAATTGGAGTTGAAGAGGGTTCGCTTCTTGTTATCTTCTCCCTAGGGCTAGCGAGCACTCCTTTGAACTCCCTGTCACAAGGATAAGGCAACAAGAAATAGAATCAATTGAACAGTACCTTCGATTAAGGAACGGTGAGCGCCTTACTTCCCACACCTCCTGCCCACATAATACCCTGTTTTGCATCTGGTTATCCTCATTAGAGCTTTTCCGCCCCTAGGCTTGGATGTCCATTCTCTTTGTCCAGGACCGTTTCCTTGGGCACGTGGAGATCCATATGTGAAAGCATCCAGAGTACCATCACATTAAAGTGGTACCCATCAGAAGTATGTTCCAATTGAGTCGATTACGTGTCATTAATTCCTATCTTCAGTAGTGGAGAGCATAGTTGAGTGCCTCACCCCCACCACCGCAAACTCCAATTTTACCGAGGTACTTATTGAGTTTCAACTGATGATACGTGATGGATTCATCTGTCATCTGCTATCTGTTTTCGAATTCGGAAAGAAGTTCGCGTAATTCGGAAGGAAGAATTAATAAGGTAGAAAGAAAATCGTGAATTCTTCCAATTTTATTGCAGAGAAAGAGAAAGGAAGAGGAAGTTTCCTCACCAGATATATTTATGGAATATCTGGTTGTCTTTGTGCCCAAAATGAATTGCACGTTATTAGTAAGTGAAAGCGAAAACTTCGACGGGAAAGCATTAGGAACATTCGAGGTATTCGGTGAAAACATCCAGAAATGAACGGATTAAGAGGAAAGGTCATCAGGTCAACTTCGTGTCTGCTTGGTGCATCTATGGCTGCAAGTTAATGCCCTTTCCTGGCGTTTCGGGTGGAAAAGACCACTCTGCGGTCGTGGAGTTACCTGTCTCACTCATGAAAGACTAACCAAACAAACCTAATGGAGGAACCCGCCTTCAAGAGTTGTAGCGGATTTTCTGAGCAAACACTAGATGAATTTATTTCTCACCTTATTTAGGCGTCTCTTAGAGGCTCCTAACAGAATGTCGGAACTGCTGAAGAGGATAAGGAACTCGATATGGATAGGAACTCAGTACAACGTGGCCTCTTATGGTTAGTGGCAATTTAGATAAGAAACTAGACGGTTTGAGGAAAAGTTTAGTACCGTTCCTTCGTCAAAGCTGATGAATGACATTTTACGGCCTAAACTAAAGAGTCTGCCCGAGCGATAGATTTTGACGACGATGGACGAGAAAGCGTGCGAATCGGAGAGGCGCAGACACTAGAGTGCATCGCGGACAGAGCAGGGTCCGCACATGATATGTCTTTTCCATGTGTGGAAATGACGTGGCCTATTTTCATGTGTACCAATCTACTTTACGGGCGGATGGATTTGAAGGAATCGTCCACGGAGAAGCTGTTCATTCACATCTACTGCGGGGCATCTGCCACGGTGGGCGGGACGAATGCATAGGTGCGGAACCTTGGTAAGTTCCTGGGAAGGTTCAACATAGGGGAACCAACAAACCAACCAACCAATTCACCTTTATGCAAACCACACATTTGTACGTGTTGACTTCTCAACACCAACACTTGTGACAGTTTTACGGCGGGAATTCAACTTCTTTGTCGCCTAGTTGGCTGTCCAAATTTACCAGAACAACACTTTTTTCGTTCTTTTTGCTATCCTCGTGAGGCAAGTGGGCTAAGCTATCAATTTCTGGTGAGAATGTAGGCAAAGTTTCACAAGAATGCTGGGTTGTGAACAAAACTTTCGCCCCAGGCGGGACTAGAACCCGCACCTCTCGCTTTCCGGGCAAGTGCGCTACCAGTTACGCTACCGGGGCACCATTTCATCCCAACTCAGCTTTTCATGGTATACGT